GCCACCACCGGCCGGCCGGCTCCGCCGCCCTCTCCACCGACCTCCTCGCCGCCCCGGTCATCTTCTCCCCCTCCGGCGTCGTCCTCCTTCCCGGTGAACAGGAACTCTGGCGAGTGCATCGGGAACCGCGCTGGATCTAGATCTGAGCAATTCTGGATGACTTTTTCTCCTCCAAACCCTAATTTTTTATGCCTACTTTGACCGGCCGTATCTCCGCATCCGTAGCTCCGATTTGGGCATATAGTATATCAAAATATTCGCCTCAAAGAGTACATCATTCCATTCCATTGCATCATTTTCATTTGAGTTCATCTTGATGCCCGAAATGCTGTTAGAAGGAGGCTTCGTGAGTTAATTGTCAGATCTGCTAGTTCATCTTAGACTTTTGTCATTTTTGCCATGATTTTTGTGTGCATGATATGCCTGTGAATCCTTCATATGTTTTGTTAAGGATTTTGTCTTCTTTTCAGAGGTGCAACCCATGTATTTTTAGGATGTGTGTGGTGACTTGTGCAAGCTTGTAAAGTGAGGCACCCGGTGAATCTGTTTTCGGGGGCTTAGTAGTTTTCACCAAGTCTGGGATTATTTAGTTCATGATGCCATATGTTCAGCTTGTTTCCTAGTGATCCGTGCCTCTTTTGAGGATGATCAGTAAAGGAGTTTTGTTAATCATGTTATGCTATATCCATCCATATATTTACTTGCAATTATGGAGCACCCTAGCTTGAGTCACTCGAGCTCTACTTTTGGTTCGTTGTGAATCTGGGCAGATCGTCAACTCGTTTGCGATTTTGCCGATGTTATTGTAGTTGATCCGTGCATGCTATGCCATTGTTCTTGCCATGTCTAGCTAGAATTGTATGCCTTCTTAATGGATGTATGCTTGCCTTGCCATGACTTGCACTGTAGTGAGTGCATCGAGCTTGTTTACATGCCTTCGTGAGTTATATTTCAGCATGTCTCAGTTTGCACTAAGTCTGAAAACTGATTGTGTTTTAGCTATGTTCGTGTGCCCATTAGTATATTTTGTGAACTCTTTTGGCCCCAGGTCACTTTGGGTCTTTTGTTAAGCTTGTTGAGTAGCTCCATGCCATGTTCTTACTCGTCTTAATCAGGTCATGTATCATGTTGTTTTGCTGCTCCGAAGAGGGCTTCGTGATCTGAAATTTCAGACAAGTGTTAATTTCACTAAGTCTGGAATCTGTTTTGCATTTGCGTTTTTGCCATTCTTGTTTGAACCTCATATTGGATGAATTGG